TGCCCCAACGAGGAGGAGCTCTGCCCCAAGCAGGAGGAGCTCTGCCCCAACGAGGAGGAGCTCTGCCCCAAGCAGGAGGAGCTCTGCCCCAACCAAGAGGAGCTCTGCTCCAACCAGGAGGAGCTCTGCTCCAAGCAGGAGGAGCTCAGCCCCAACCAAGAGGAGCTCTGCTCCAACCAGGAGGAGCTCTGCTCCAAGCAGGAGGAGCTCAGCCCCAACCAAGAGGAGCTCTGCTCCAAGCAGGAGGAGCTCTGCTCCAAGCAGGAGGAGCTCCCCTCCAACGAAGAGGAGCTCCGCTCAGATGAAGAAGAGCTCCCCTCCGACGAAGAGGAGCTCCGCTCCGACGAAGACGAGCTCCGCTCCGACGAAGAGGAGCTCCCCTCCGACGAAGAGGAGCTCCACTCCGACGAAGAGGAGCTCCCCTCCGACCAAGAGGAGCTCCGCTCCAACGAAGAGGAGCTCCGCTCCGACCAAGAGGAGCTCCCCTCCGACCAAGAGGAGCTCCGCTCCGACCAAGAGGAGGCTGGCTCCAACCAACAGGAGGCTGGCTCCAACCAACAGGAGGCTGGCTCCAACCAACAGGAGACTTGCTCCAAACAAGACAAGGCCGTGAACACCTCAGACACAGAATCGGAACACCAGGAAGTAATTGAACGTGCTGATGAAGTACAAAGTGAAATAGACAAACTTAATGAACAAGCCGCTAAGGAGATTTTGAAAGTAGAACAGAAATACAACGAACTCCGCCAACCATTTTTTGACAAGAGGTCAGAAATGATCTCCAAAATCCCACGTTTTTGGGGAAAAGCATTTGTCAACCATCCACAAGTGTCCAAGCTGCTTGGGGAGGAGGAAGAAGAGGCACTGCATTATTTGACCAGAGTTGAATTGACAGAATATGATGAAATTACATCAGCTTACAGAATAGATTTTTATTTTGATGAAAACCCTTACTTTGAAAATAAAGTCCTCTCCAAAGAATTTCGTCTGAACGAAAATGGTGATGAAACTACAAAGTCCACTGAAATCAAATGGAAATCTGGAAAGGACTTGACGAAACGTCCCACTCAAATGCAGAATAAAGCCAGCAGGAAGAGGAAGCGTCAGGAACCAGAGACCTTCTTTGCCTGGTTTACTGACCAAACTGATGCAAGTCCAGATGAATTAGGAGAGCTCATCAAAGATGATATTTGGCCAAATCCATTACAGTACTACTTGTCTACTGGTGTGAAACGTGAAGAAAAAAAAGAAGAAGAAGAAGAAGAAGAAGAAGAGGATGAGGAGGAGGAGGAGGATGACGATGACGATGAGGATGAAGGGGATGAGGATGAAGGGGATGAGGATGAAGATGATGAACTGGACGACGAAGATGAGTATGAAGAAGACTTTATCACAATTCTTATCCAGTACTGATCAAGCCTCTGCACAAAAGGCCCACTTGAAACTGGCCTCAAAAATCTCATGAACATCCCAACTTAGCCATTTCCCCTAAGAAAGCTACTAAGACTCTGTCAAGGTAATGCTTACCCTTACTACAGTAAGAATAAACTCCTGCTTTGTCTTGTTAACAGATTGTTTTGGTGGTGCTCTCAGGGATCCAGCATTCAAAGGGAACAGGGAAGAGGGCTGGGGACAGATACCTTTGGATAAGATATGAGTAGATGGTGGAATTCATATGAGTAGCAGATTGTCATGACATTTTTTCAAAGGGGGGGGTCTCCCTAAGGGGTAAAGACTCAAGGTCAGAAAAACAAGGTTAAAGATAGAACTATGGTTGCATCCCCAAAGAGATCTCCTGTGAAGGGCTTAAATCCCTAAGTACATTTTTTATGACCACAAGGTTAAAGACAGCACTAAGGTTGCATCCCCAAAGAGATCTCCTGTGAAGGGCTTAAATCCATGAGTACATTTTTTATGACCATGGAAATAAGGCCCAATCAATACATGGTTTGAAAGTCCTTCCCTCATAGGTTGTAATTCTCTTTAGTATCCTTGGACCTTTCCATAAAGCCTGAATTACCTACAGGTATCTGTGAGAGAGTGCTGTGGAGGAAAGTGAATCCTGTATATGCCCCTCCTGCCCTCTGAGGATACTTTTCATTGGAGAGAATTCAGTTTTAGTGCAGGTCTAGAACCCAGGCCCTGCCTAGCTGCAGGCCAATAACATGGCCTTGGAGGATGATAGGAGAGACCAAAGGACCCCCCTCTCTTGTACCTGAATAAGCACAGTTTAAAAGAAATATAACATGGGGCAGCTCCTGTGGCTCAAAAGGGTAGGGTGCTGGCCCCATATGAGTCACAAAGACAAACAACACATTTAATTTAAAATTCTTACAGCCACATATTAAAAAGCAAAAAGAGATAAAATTAATGAGTATTTTATTTAGGCCAGGGGCAGTGGCTCATGCCTGTAATCCCAGCACTTGGGAGGCCAAGGTGGGTGGATTGCCTGAGCTCACAGGTTCAAGACCAGCCTGAGCCAGAGGGAGACCTCTTCTCTAAAAACAGCCTGGTGGTGTGGCAGACTCCTGTAATCCCAGCTACTTGGGAGTTGGGACCTAACACTTCAGCCCAGGAGTTTGAGGTAGCTGTGAGCTATGACGCCACAGCACTCTACCAAAGGTGACAAAGTGAGACTCTGTGTGTGTGTGTGTGTGTCTGTCTGTCTGTCTCTCTCTCTCTCTCTCTCTCTCTCTATATATATATATATATATATATATTTTAATACTACATCCAGCTATGATCACACAGCGTACTGCAGCCTGAGTGACACAGTGAGACCCTTCCTCTAAGAAAAAGGAAACAAATGAATAAATAATATATCCAAACCATTATCATTTCAACATGTAATCAATATTAAAAGCATTAATGAGATTTTTTTCTTTTTTTAGGCTAAGTCTCTGAAGTTCAGTATATATTTTGAATTTACAGCACATTTTAATTCAGACTAGCTACATTTCAGGGGCCCCATAGCCATGTGTAGCTCTTGACTACAGTGTTGAATGGCATAAGACAACAGAAAGGTGACCCTGAGAAAAAACAGACCTTTGGATAATAACCCCTCATACACTGTTTCATTTAGCAGCAGAACTAATGCTCTCTATAGAAATTCCTGATCCAGGGGTCTTGTATCTTCTGCCAGTGTCCATGAAACTGTGGCAAGCTAACTTGGTAACTTGCAAGTAGGGTCAAATCCCAGACCTTTCACAGTTCTTGACATTATCATCCTATCCTTCAATGCCTAACCAAAGTCTAACTTCTCCAAGGCACCTCTACAACATAGAACATTTCATTATGATTTTGTATGGGTCTACATTTTAACATTTCCAATCCCCCTCATTGTTCTATTCATAATACTTATTAAAATGTTTGCTGTTTGATTCACTGACTTCTGTCCCATACATGTGAAACATCAGAGACTTTCACATCATGTGAACACAGAGTCCTCCCCACCCCTTTCCCACCTTCAGATGTGCTGGTGGTGGATGGTGTACACCCCCCCACTCCTCCTTGCACTGTCTTCCCTCCTCCTCAAGCCCTACTCTAGAGTTTCCCTTTTTTCTGTAGCCACTCACCACACTTTCACCTTTTTTTTTTCACACTTTGACCTAATTTAAAACATCAAACCAGATTAACTCAGTGAAATCAAAGCTTTTAACTGGAGTTACGGGATACAGAAGCTAAAGATCACTTTTTAATGAAATCAGTGAATGTCCTAATGACACTGGCCTTCAGATTGCTTCAAGTAGAAAATTCTTCCTTTCTAGACAGGCTTTTTAATAAGAGGAGCTGGGAAAACTGAATATCCACATGCAGAAGAATGAAACTAGACCCAGATCTCTTGCCATATTCAAAAATCAAATCAAATGGATTAAAGACTTTAACCTAAGACCTGAAACTATGATACTACTAAAAGAAAACACTGGAGAAATGCTTCAGGACATTGGTCACAAAATTCCAATTATTTTAAACTACCCATTAGATAACATTTGAAAAGACACAAAAATAATCACTTATTTCCTAATTATGAGCTATTTTTCTTCTCTTGTTCTTCCCTTCCTACCTTCTTGATGTTTTTCCTTCTTTTTTTCTACTTCTTTATTTCTTCCTTTCAAGTCCATAGCACCTAACACGCATTTTGACAGCTTTCCTTGTTGGAGTACCTGGTAAGTAGCTCAGATTAAGCTACAATATCAGAACATTATAGGTCAGGGGTCCTCAAACTACGGCCTGCAGGCCACATGTGGCCGCTAAGGACATTTATCTGGCCCACCGGGTGTTTTTGCCGCCACTGCCTGTCCTGCTTAGCAGCTGACTCGTCCTGGGCCCACAGTCTGGCCCTCCCAAGGGTCTGAGGGATAGTGAACTGACCCCCTGTTTAAAAAGTTTGAGGACCCCTTAGAAGTACAGAATTACTCTCAGACCACCAGATGTATCTCTAACTTCACTGAAAAGAACTAAAGCTTCTCTTCCACATGCCTATTCTCTATGACCAGAGTTAGAGAGGGACAAGAAGAACCCTGAACTTTGGAGAAGAAGAACTTCACTGTGGTTGTCCACTAGCATGGGGAAGTTGCATGATGAAACTCAAAAGACGTCGATAATCAGTGAACATAGCATTAGTATAAACCAGAATCGCTACAAACCCATGTTAATTCCACTATGCAGTTTTTTGG